GGCTCGGGCTGCGCGCCGGGGCCGCCGAAGGAGAGATGGAGGCCCAGCAAGTAGCCTGGCGCGTCCGTTTGGCCGATGATGTTAGCGAAGTGGTTTTTGGTGGGACCAGCAGCACCGACATCCCCTAGGGACCCAGTGGAGAGGCACTAATCAGACGCTGTGGGGTGGGGCCCACATCTGTTTGAGTGGGTGATTCGCAGGTCAGCTGAAGTGTGAGAACCACCGCATCCTTGTGTTAAAGGGTGTTCGGTCCCCACCGTTGTTGTTGTTGTTTGATGTGTGTGTGTGTTTTGTTTTGCCCTGGAGTCGTGCGTGTGTGTGTGTGTGTGTGTGTGTGTGTGTTTGCCCTAGAGTCGTGCTGACCTAAACCAGTATTTGCCTTTCATCACTTGAATGTAGGCTGGGAAAAGCTTTTCCCAGAATGGAAAGATTCAATACAGGTACACCTTTTCTTACTAGGCAGGATCTGAACACTCTGAATTCAGAGACAGCTGACACTATGAATGTCACTTTTTTACTTTCCATTAATTTTTTTTGAGTTATGATATTACTCTCCCGGGTACAAACATAACATATCTCAGTTTCAGTTCTGCAGAGGCATTCAAAAAAGCCACAACAGCGCAAGCCCTAAGAACCCCTTACAACTGGAAGTTTACGTGGACCACAGTTGCAGCTGGTCAAAATATGAATGTGGTGGGCAATCACCAAGACAATAAATAAAAGGGAAATAATTTCTGAAGTTCAAATAAGGACATTGTTGTCCCCCTTTCCAAATTTTAAAGATTCATTATAGTCACTTTGAACCCAAAAGACATTTGAGTCTGTCGCTATAATCGGAGAAAAATGCATTTTGACTGCAAGCTGAAAATACTCCAGACTGTGGTCTCTTAGTTCATCATTTCAGTTCTCCTTACTACCCCTTCATTCCAGTTTGGAAAGTTCAGATCTAAACTTAGAATTTCGTAGATGAAATGAGTGTGGAATCGCTAGAAGGAGAATCTCATTCTGTGGAAATGTTTATATGGGAAGCTGACACCTGTTGACCTAAACATTTTCATTGTTTTATTGACTAGGAATCAAACCCTCGACCCTTTGGTCTGCAGGCCGACGCTCTAACCACTGAGGAAAACTGGTCAGGGCTTCAGTGTTTTATTGTAAAAAATTTCAAATGTGCAAAACATTTGAAAAAGTTTTATGTGGTCACCCATATTACCTTGTACAATGATGGTGTATGGTCTGCTCTCTCCATGACAGTAGCCATTGGACTACTGTGGCTATTGAGTATTTGAAATGTGGCCAATGAGACCGAGAAAACAAGTTTTAAAATTTTTATTTAATTAGTTTTGATTAATTTAAATGAAGAAAGCCACATATGGTTAATGGGTGCCATATTGAATAGTATAAACTTAGACACCATTACGGTTTTACTGTACTTGCTGTATCACAGATTTGCTCATCTCTTCATTTTTGTATCCACCCTGCTCTAAATGTAAGAACATTTGTTGGGAGGGGGGAGTGGGCAGAGAGAGGTTAATGGGGGAAAAGGAAATATATGTAATAGTTTCAACAATAAAGAATTTTTAAAGATTAAGATAAAAGAAAATTTGTTTAAGTCAGGAATATTTTCCCTATTTCCCCTCAGTGATTCAGATTTACTGGATTATAAACTTTTTGTTTTGTTTATATATGGAGTTGTCAGAAGTTGAGGCTAGATTATAAAACTAATAACATTTTTATAGTATGTTCTTCTAATATTAAAATACATGGTCACCAAAAAGCATCCAGAGGACACTTATTTTCTTATATGTATTAATATTTATTTTATATATTTCCCTCAAGAGTTACTCATCTATTTTAAACTAGGTATCTATTATCTTGGTCCTTAGGAAGTGGTTGTGTCCCTGAGGGCTATCCTATATAATAAAAGCCTAATATGCTAAGTGTCCCGTCGTCCAGTCTTCTGTTCAGCCAATCAAAGCATAATATGCTAATAATATGCTAAGGCCGCTCAACCGCTGGCTATGATGTGCACTGACCACCAGGGGGCAGATGCTCAATGCAAAAACTGCCCCCTCGTAGTCAGTGCACTCCCACAGCCAACCTCCCACAGCCAGCCAACCTCTCCCGGTCCCTCCTCGCACCAGCAAACCTCCTGTGGTCCCTCTCCCTGTCCCTCTGGCCCCATCCAGCAGGCCCTGTCTGGCAGCTGGCAGGCCCCCAGGCCCCGGCCAGCAGCCCCAGCAGCCCCACCCAACAGGACTGGGCAAGATGGCCCCCAATAGGCCCTGATCACCGGCCAGGCCTAGGGACCCCACCGGTGCACAAAGTTTGTGCACCAGGCCTCTAGTCTTGTGAATAAAGAAATTAGAGGAAGAGTTGAAAATAGGTGAGGAGAAATTTCAGTTCTGCCACCCATTTTCTTTTTTATAATAGATTTTTATTGATTTTTAGAGAAAGAGGAAGGAGAGGGATAGAGAGATGAAAACATTGATGAGAAAGAAACATCATCTATTGGCAGCCTCCTGCATGCCCCCGGGCATGTGCCCTCTGCCACCCACTTTCTAAGTATACACCACTCTGGCTGGCAAACCTGAACTTCCAGTTCAGTTAGGTTCTCAGGAAGAGTAACAAATACAACCTCTCTCTGAACTTCGCCTCAGGAGGCAATAAGGGATTCGAAACTCTTGAAATGTAATCATTCAAAAGGACCCCCCAAAATTGAACTTGGTTCTTTAGAAAATACACTATGCTAGTGTCTGTTAATTGTCTTTTACAAATCCCATCTTTTACTGGGCAAGTGATATATGTAAGTGCAGTTAATTATTAACAGCTCAGTGTATGTTCACTACTAAAAGGCAGGAGCTATAAAGCAGTTTCTTAGAACATCATCATTGGAGAGTTACCTCTGCGCTGTAAGAACAATAGTCTACAATTAACAGATCCTCTAGTTTGAAAACAGAAAATTTTGACTAGAATTTGTACATATACAAAACAGTATAGTAATTAACTTGATGGCTTATTGATTATTGGTTTGTTATAGAGATGAGTTTATTGATTCTAGCTTAATTCTAGAGTAGGGTGCGTTAGGAGAAAGCTGGGCTGATTCTGAGGAATCACTAGTGCAAAAGCTTCCTAGGCTCCAATGGGAGTTGGGACGTGTACAAAGCCAGCTTTAGTGTATGGTGTGGGCCTTACCATGTTCGAATCCTGTTCTGCTATTGGAATCAACTCAACCTCTTAAAATCAGTTCAGTCTTATTCTCTCATTTGTTGGAAATATAGGAAGTACTGGGTATAGTCACAGTACTAAGAAATATACTTATATATTACTTTGATATTTATGAAGGATTTTCTTATTTTCAAAGTTAAGAATACCCCAAGTAAAAAGTATTTTAGAAGAGTATTGTTTTTTATGGGGTAGCAACATGAATAAACTTAGAGAAGAGTATGATTTACAAATGAGAAATTATAATTCCTGTGGCCAGTGGTGAATACTTCTTAAAATATTGCTTTCTTGTCTATAGAAAGCATGTCATTAATATACTTAGCTATTGGAGTAGACTGCTTTTGAGCATATCTTGGGAGGCACTAAAGCTGATTGTATACTACACATAACTTGTCCACGGGTAAGAGACAATTTTAAAAGGGTTAGAGAACTTTGTTTATGAAAACAAAAAGTTGGAA